AAAGTAACACCAGAAACATTTGATTCCAATAGCTGTACCAAGACAGTTAATTTATCACTCCGTATATGTGTGTGTGCACACACTGGGCCTTAAAATACTGGGATCACATTCTGAAGCCTGTTCCTCCTTGCTACCTAACAGACATGTACTGATTTTTAAGAAGTTCTAGCGCTTGTGACGTACTGCAATATCTGAAATCCATGCAAACTGCCACGTTCTATAAATAAAAGTGTCACAAAACAACTACTTTTAACCTAGAAATGCGGATTCCACAGCAAAAAGGCTGTTAGTAATTGAATCAGAGAGCCCCAAACTGAAGCCCATGCTATGACCACTGCGATGCCCACACACAGTGAAGTGATCACAGTGAGAAATGGAGCACCAGAACCTTCAGGCAGGAAATGGCTTGAGATCTGGCCATAAAGCAGCGCCCTGCAGTGGCTTTCCTTAAGAAGCTGCTCTTCATAGCAAATAGCACCGTGTGGGATTGTTCACCTATCTTTCCTCTGACCACTACTACGCAGCATCCTGTACTGAATGGAGAGCAACTAACAGCTGGGAGGCAAATGCTGTATCAGTCAAATGAAGGCAACGACAAAGGGGAAAGGCCAGTTCAGAAAAGGGAATATAAAGGGTGCACAGCAGAACAGCAAAAATGGTGGGGAGGAGAAAGAGCAGAGAGCCCTGACTAGCCACAAAACCATACTGTGGTTTACAGACCTTGCCTCTAAGCTTCTGACAGAACTGGGGTACCTAAAGCCAAGCCTTAATCCAAGGAAGGGTCTAAAAGAGGTCAAGAATTCTACTTTATTTTTCCAATCCAAGGGAAAGTAAGCTACTCCAACAGATGCTCAAAGAAATCCCCACCCTCCAAAGAGGCTGCAACTGCTACCCGTTTGACTTCATTCACAAGTCAAGTATTTCACCTTAGCATACACACATAGCATGAAACTAGCCCCAAAGAAATATTAGGATAAATTCATGCAGGGGCTAACCTAATCCTGACCATATTGAAACTATTTCAAATTCTCAACAGAAAATAAAAATTAGAACCACCTAACCATGTAATTACCATTTGCTGCCTATTTATAGATGAAACTTGCTTGAGTGACATTTATTTTGTGACGTGGTAAAATCCTCCAGCAGAAGAAGTGAATACCCTCCACACTCTATGCCCATAATGTGCACCAGCTCTTTCTTTCAAATGTTGGGAAAAAGCCAGCAGTGGAATCATTAGCCACCATACCTGTGAGATATTTGACGTTTTCAATGGCTGAAATTTCGTCAGTCTTTCCTGGGACACTTACCTGCCTCTCCTATTTCCAAAGGAAAATTGACTAAAATCCAGGTTGCCATGTGAGCTAAAGAAAGATTATGTCGTGTGTTGTTGAATGAGTGCTGCACCGCAGAGTACGTTTTCAGCACAGGGAGACACGTGCATCACTTCCTCAGCGCACGGGAAATGCCTGCAGAAACCCGTGCTGAAAACGTACCCTTCTGAATGTGTGAATTGTGTGTGTTTCAGTGGGAGGCAGGCTGCCTCGTCGATATTTGACCTGGATTCAAGACGTCCAACCATAAAGGCCTTGAAAATCCAAGCCGTGGCAGTCATCTTTTGTGTGAAGAGGAATATATAGAGATATATGAAAAAAAGAATAGCTCACTCGATCTTTTCCCGCCAGGAATGGGGGGACTCTCCCAGAGCGACATCCATTGCCGGCAATGGACGCACCAAAATTACGTCGGCATCAATGAGTTAGCCACCTCTGTCCTCTCTTTTTCCACCTATTATATTTCTCATGCATCATCCAGCTTCCCAACCATCTTCCTGTTTTCTTCACAGTACGCACGCTATGTTCTCTCCTTTCTTCAGGACGGAGTTGAAAATGGAGTTGAGAAAAGGAGACGCATGGTCAGCTGGGGATGATGTTAACAAGCTCCTTGCTGCCCTGAGAAGCTGGATGGAAATGGTTGAAATTACTACAAGGGGGTCATCATTAAGAGGTCGGGAAGGACACAGCTTTATGTTACAAGCTTTTCACACCCTCCCGCCCGATGCTTCCAAAGCACTACACAGATGACCAGCACTCCAAAGCTGTAAGATGCAGCTGGAAGACCCTGAAAACTGTAAACATTTGCCTTCTCTCTTCCAGTTTTGGTCATGGAACAGGGAAAAGGGCTACGTGTCTATCCCAGAGACAACATGCCCAAATATTCTTTTACGCAGTAAAAAGTATGTCGTTTATGGGGAACTGCAGCTTAAAATTCTTTCCAGCATTTTCAAAGCACTGAGCTCAAATAGCCAAGTTCAATACACAGTATTGGGAATGTCAGACAGAAGCAGCTAACTCTTGGTATCGTGATGACGTGCAGGACAGATAATATTCTGTGTGTCATTATGGTAGCTCCAAACACAAGAAGCTAAAAGGCATTCTTCTGCTCTGAAATACGTAAGGAAGGAGGGCCAGGGCTAATTTCAGATACATGGATGACAGGCAGATACACGGGTGTTGTTGCACTGGGTATCCAGATCAGAAATTCTGCCTAGGAGATCCATATATCCAAGATCAATACTTTAATCATGTACTAGCTTTCAAAATGAGTGACTATGTGACAGTAAAAAGGGAAGGCTGCAAAACTGGAAACAGTAACTTCTGATGGATAATGATTCCACAGCTGACCGGTTCTGAGCAACTTGCTTCTTGAGCAAGAACTATCCCAAGAGCTGGAAAAATGATATTGTCCAGGAAGAAATTTATTCTTTCGTACTTAACCCCGTTCCTCCATGAATCCTCCAAGTGGGATGCAGCTAAACTGCTCTTTTTTTTGGAGGGGCAGGGGATTAGAGTTTGAGTTTTCCCTTTCAACACTCAGCACTGGAGCACAGACTGACAACATGGGGATTAAAATAATGCACAGATGAAACTCAAGCAGAAACATTTTTCTACCTTGCATGAGCAAGAGAGAGCAAGCCTCAGGCTCACATATATCTTCTCCCTGCATCGAAAGAAACATGTACCAGGTACATCTGGCAGCTATACCTGGCAGCTCCATGAACTGATTTATCAACCTTCTATGTCAGTTCAGCCATGGAAAGCAGGTTCAGGAAGCTCCTGGGTACAGGGAAGCTACTACTGTTCTGTTAGGCCATATATCTGGGGACAGGACAAATGTGAACTCAAGGCCTGCTCTCTTCTCTTTCAGGGTAGAAAAACCATGCTCGCAAGCAAAGCCAAAGAAAGATGTCCATTCAAGCTGCAACATACAATGCACATCATCTAAACTGGAAAGTAGCAAAATATGCACATTTACATTTCTACAGATATTTGGAAGTCTAGCACATTATTTTATATATTAACTACATCAGCAGGCTTACGGAGTCCCTATTTTCGCATTGCACATGTTCTGCAACTATAGCTGAAATTCTGAGAACCACAGAACTAGTAAAAAAACCCTCTACCTCATTTGAGCCGCTCCTCCTCCTGATCTAGTCGCATACATGTAAAACAGAGAGGCTAAAGTGCTTCTTTCGTGGGGCAAGCAATGTGCTTTTTGGAAAGGCAACTGCGCACCTTTTTACATTTGCCTCACTTGATAACCTAAATAAACTTATCTTCAGATGTAGGGAAAAGGAATTATGCCTATTTCAGAACTGTCTCAGTCCTAAATTGTAGGCACACAAGTGTTTAGTACCTTCCCTTAGAATTAATTCTCAAGTCAGACTTTCGACTTTAAGAAACAGGATACTGGCTTATACAACTTCAGCCTCCTACAGAATCTCTAGTACCTGATTTGGGGATCTGATTTGCCTTTCCGAGTCCCAAGGCACACACTGGTTCCACCAAACTACTCACACATCTCCTTACAGGAAGAGTGAACTGGCAATAAAGAATCCCCACCAAGGAAAAAGGGTGAAATGGACTGGATAAGCAGCAACTCTGCTCCCATTTTTTAGTGCAGCAAGTGATGCCATGAAAGGGAGGAGGGGCTGGTGGGTCTGGATCTTTTGCCCCGTGAGATGAGAGGCATGAACTGGGTTCGCTGCATCCTGCCCTTTCTCTTGGATACTGCCACCCCCACCCTGTCACGCTAGACTAATATGTAAGACAGCAAAGTATCACACACAACTTGAGTAGCATGTTCATTTCCAGGCTCACTTCCTTCAAAAGCAAGCAGGACAGCAGCATTCCTCAAATGCCTCAGAGCAGACGGCCTACATTTTTCAGGACAAGTGGTATTCAGGTTGCCAAGTGGACTCAAACTGTTGTTACACATTATGATTTTAGCAGAAGAAACTGTTGACCATTTTATTCATGGATAGCAGCTTACTAACTTGTCACTAAACTGTTGTTGAAAATGCACATCAAAAATTTTAAGACTGTCAAGATGATCAATATAACTTTGATTCCACAAGATCCCTCTCTTTACAAAGTTGAAGTATTTTTCTTTGGTCAACGTTGCACCAAATGATTGGCAGCAACATGCAGAAATGTTTGTTTGAAAAGGGAAAATAGAACAGGTACAGAAAACTTCTGGACGTATTATTTTCTCAAGAGATAACTTTTGGCTTGTTTGCAATGGGGATTACAAATCCTGCCATCACAACCTGAATCTAAATGTTACTGAACAGGGCACCAAAATTCAGCTCTGTAAACAGATGATGCAATTTTCGTCACATTTGTTTTGCCTGATGTGTTCGTTTTCCATGGTTTGCTCTTTTCTGGTAGCTCAAAGTGATTTGGCAAGGGATGGGAGAGAACACGGAAGGTGAACAGGATACAAAGAAGCAGCTAAGCTTTCTCTCTGCAAGCACCTGAAATGTTTTCTATTTTTGGCCTATCATACGCTGAAAAGGACCCATCTTCCTAAATCAAGGTAGGAATCTGCACTAACTTGGCCTATGCAAACACACTGCTCGGATAAGCTGGTGAACTGTGAGAAAACCGCACTGCTTCCTGAGTTGACTGGGAAAAGCAACTGCTACACAATAATCCACTTACTTTTAGGTCCTTCCAGCAGTCCAGAAGCTTGCTGGCCAAATCGCTCACATCCACTAACTTATCCACCGGCTCTTGACTCCTCTCGCTCTCCACATCCGACACACCCTCCTCTTCGTCCTGAGAAGGCGTTTCCACAGCAATAGGCTCCTCCAGCTTCATGATGCTGCTCTCTTTCATCTCTGCTTCAGGCTCAACCTCCGGCTCAGCAGCCTGGGATTTGCGGGGGTCTGCGGAGACCTCCACAGCCGCATTCTTGGCTGGCTCTGGCTGCAGGGGCTGCTCCTCCACGGCCTCTGCAGGGGCACCGTCTGGAGGCTCCAGTTCCTCTTTGCCCTCCTTCAGCTCCATCTCACTGGTACTGTCCGAGATGGCACTGTCCATACTGTTTTCGCTTATGATTTTGAGCCTCCGAAAAGCAAGCTTTTTAGGTGTGTCTGTTTCACCCTCGGTGTTGGGCTTAGTGGAAGGATCCGGAGTATTGAGTGGTGTGTGAGCCCGCGAGGTGTTCTCACTGGAATATCCATCCCCTTCACTGAAGTGTGGAATAGCTGACTTGGTCTGGGCCCAGCGCTGGATTATTGGAAGTACTTTACTTTCCTCCAACATGTTTTTGTTAGGAATAGGCAAAAGCTCCAAAGTCTTTATAATCTGATCATAAAATAGGAAATGCCGACTGTTAGTTTCCAGTATTGTTGACTTGGTTGCAGGGCGACAGGCCCTGCAAAACTTGCAATCAATACACGCTTTACTTAGTATGCTCTTCCCCACTTCTTCTCTCCCAGTCTTTTTCATTTAGCTCTAGCCATAATTCGCTATTGCGATGTAGCAATATGAGTAGCGCATACCTAAGTGCCCTGCCGAATCAAACAAAGAAACAAGTCCAGCATTTGGTTCTCTCAATGGCCAGTGGGACGCTCACACGCAGGACTCGACTCCCACAGTGCGCTCTGACTTGTGTTCTCTATCACCACTGATATCCGAAGCAATGAGCGATCATAACGACTGGTGGGCAGCGGTAGCCACTCTCACCTGGAGTCCGAAGCTGCTTTTAAGCCATCTCCTCCCAGACTTGCAAGGGCTAACCCCACTTGGGTGCCAAATGGTGCCACATGCAAGGGGAGGGGGAGGAGGAGCTCAGTCCTGCAGCCTGTCCCCAACCCTCAAATGAATCATGGTTCGGCGAATACCCTGAATTGGGCCTGAGTGTCCCTGAAACAGGTTTGAAATTTCTAACACCGGATCAGGATTTTTCCCCTACAAAGGTTAATGGTCAAACAAGCATGTGAAATGACAGAGGGACAACTGTTACGGCTTGCTTGTATGATGCCACGTCTACTCGGAGACATACGACCACGGGACCAATATGAAGCAGATGAAGGCTGCTTATCAGGAGTGACGTCTCTAACTTGGCACAGCCTACGTGCAAGATACAAAGGACCGGGCTGGGTAACCTGACTGGATCCGAGGGCTATTCACAGGGATGAGCAGCCAGATGGGGCCACATGTATTCTAATGCGTATTCTACTGATACTGTATTTTAATATGTTGTAGTTGGTTTTTATTGTGTTTTATCTTGTGACTGTGAGCCACCCAGAGGCGCTGTGGCACAATTGGGCAGCATACAAATGTTATGAATGAATGAGTGAGTGCACACATACACAAACTCCCCCATCCCGCATCTCTTTTCCAATGTTCTGGAATGGGGAGGTTTAATCCTCCCCTTTCTGCCCACTGAATCAGTTAGAGATGTTGGGAGGATCTTTAACCTCCCACTCCTCCCAAGTAACCCATTCAGAGATTTAACGGGCATTAGGAGAAATTTCCTATTTTATTTGCAAAATTTATTCTGCGATGTTCTGCTTTTTTCTCAAAGGCTAACTGCTCCCGAACGATCTTGCTCAACAAGCAGTGCAGTGCTGGGATTACTCAGGCAGGAGCAGCACTGAAAAAGGGGGGAAAGCAGACCCGGCCAAGTAGGAAGAGCCTGTGCCTTCTGAACCCTCCAACAGGCATTCCTGGAAAGCTCCCAAGGCTCTCGGAATGGCTAATTATTTCAGAATCAATTACTCTGAGCAAAAAGAACCCAAAGGAGGCCAGTGCCAGTCAGGTCACGCTCATAACCACGTTTTTTAAGCAACTTCGCTACACAGCACCACAGTCATCCTCACACGCTCACTGACCTCCAACTGGAGCTTCAGGTTGTTGGCTGTATTTCCCCTGCCATCACCAAGCTCTGCCATCCAAATCCAGAGAAGGGACAAACCGTGACATTCCAAGAAGGACTTCAGGCAGGCCTGTGAATGAGTATTCTGAAACAAAAACGCAAGAAAGTGGACAGTGACTGAGAGAGCATTCAGTGACTTCCCCACCGGTATTGCAAGCAAACAGAATCAACCCTAAACACGATCACTCATATATACGGAGCAAACAAGCCAAAACTGAGCTACAATACAGTATTCACCACTAGGCATCACCACCAGGAGTTCTAAAAAGTTCAGTCAGCAATAAGAAAGTTATTTCTCTGAAGGGCTGAGGGTTTCGATGCAGGAAAACTGATACCTTAACTTGAACTTGGGAAGCCTCCTTCCGTGGCCCTGAATAAGTTACTCCACCACCGTGTGTAAAAAGGCACCACTACTTACACTCACAAATGTTGTAAAACTTTACCCTTTCAGTTATCTAAATAAATGTAGCAACCCAATAATCAGTTTGGTAAGGAAAATTTTGAGGAGTTCCTTAGTCAAAGATGATGGCAGCCAGTCAGAACAATTATATTAAAAGGTTATTTGAGGGTTCTAGGAAGGCTGGGCTGCTCTTTAAGATGCCTGACAGCGAGTGGAGACAGGGGCAAGCACTGCCTTCACTCGGCTGCCTGGACTGAGCCCTTCACATCTATGTTCACACCTACATGTATTTCTGATATGAAGGCATGGGGATGCCCGCTGCCAGCTCTTTCTGTGCTGCTAGAACTGGGCAAGGATTCTCTCAGCATTTAAAGAAAAACAAATCTTTGGAACAGCAAAAGCCGGAAAAAGGATGCAATAAGGAAACCCTTTACGTTAAACAAACTGAAACAGAAAGAGAGTCTTGCGGCTCCTTAAAGGTTAGGAGGGTTCTGGTGGCATAGGGGCTGCCTTCAGCAAATTAGTGTTAGTTGGCACATACATAAACACACACACACACACACACACACACACACAGACAGGTACGTAAGAAAAAGAAAACTATAAACTGTGCAGCAAAAGGCTATGAAAGGCAGGAGAGCTGACATTTCTACAGAAAGCTCCAATGTATACAAGGCAAGCACATAAAGTGGCAGTAAATACCTCTCTTAGAATCAACAAAAGCAGGAGAGAACGGTGTATAATGGGAAAGCCCCAAAGCCTACAATTTGAAACTTGCTTAAAATGGAGCAGTGGCAGTCCAGATGAAATTTGCTTAAATTGCACTGGGTGTAAGACATATTCCAGGCCACAGTAAGGCTAGTGGTACAAAAGGGCAGTGGGTGTTCCTCCTTGATTGACAAGAAAGCCAGCTGTTATTCAGAACTGTCTCCAGTGCTGAGCAGAACTTACAAATCAACTGAAAGGCAGAGGGCAGAAGAAAAATGTGGCAGCCTTTAAGATTTGTATAAACAAAGCTGGAGATTAATTTTAGAGGATGCATCAGATAAAGTGAATGAAAAGCAAATTGGGTAGTATTACATAGTCACTGGAGGACTATCTCTTGTGTTTCACTGCCTTTTTTCAGAGTATCTTTTGGATTTCATGGCCACTGTTTACAGTTCTTACTCAGCAGATATACACAAGTGCAAATGTGCAAAAAAAGATAACACTTCATGCATTTGAAGAAGTAGGCTCTCGTTCAAGAAAACTTAAGCACAGCCATTTCACAAGTCTTTAATGGGCCATAGGACTCTTTTCTTCTGTTTCTATTCTTAAAGACTAACATGGCTACTCTTGCAGGAATTTGCCAGAGAGGTTTAAAAAAAAAACAGAAAGGAAGGACGGAAGGAAGGAAGGAAAGAAGGAAAGCAAGCAAGCAGAAAGCCGGCCAGACAGCCAAGATTTTGAACAGGGCCACATTTTCAAAGCAACCGTATGATTTAATAATTTATGCAGAAATACAGTCTTTACAGTCATCACATAACCCAACAAGTCTAACATACAAAACAACCAAGCAAATCAAATGGATCCGGCTCCCTATGTAAAATGCTTTTCATACTGATCAGGCCAACGATGGCTGAAGTCCGTTCAATTTGTGTCAAGAGGTTTCATTTCTTTTTCAGCCTTCCTTTCACTGGCACTGCCAACTTCAAAACGAGAATCAGACAGCTCTGACTAGCATAGCACAAGAGAGGCAGGAGTCGGCTCTGACTGTTTTAATGTGATAATCATTCTAGCAGCTGCTAGGAAACATTTCCTCAGCTGCTTTTGATGGGAAAAAAAGAGAGAACACAGAAAGCCACCTAACCCAAAATGGTTGTCTCCATCTGGCAGCTGCTCTTCGGGGTCTCAGGCAGCTTTCTTCTTGCTACCTGATCATTTTAACTGGATGTCAGGAAAGCAGCCTGCCCTCTACTGCATGCGAAACACGTGCTCCAGGAATGAACTGTGGCTGCTTAGCATATTATTATTATTATTATTATTATTATTATTATTATTATTATTATTATTACATTTCTATGCCACGCAGTAGCCTGGAAGACTGTTTTTCTCCTGCTTCCACACCACAGGACCCTCCCCCCACCCACTTTTATGCAGCTTTTTGCTGTAGCTACATGGTCCTTTGGGTGCCAAGAGCCTGGGCAGCACACCCCCGTTTTCAGGGTGGTCCAGCAGCCATTTGAAATTTGGCAATGTTATACTGCCAGGTTCAGTCTCCATTGAGTCACATCCTGATCCAACCATACCCCATTTCTCATTTTGTTTTCACAAAAACCTCTCATCCTCACAAACGATGAAAAATTCATTCGATTTAACTTCTCTTGCACCCATCCCCCACCAACCCAGTAAAAGGAGGAGATCGACACACCTGTATGAGTTTGAGGCAGGTGAGTTTTTGCTCCAGAGTCTCAATGCGCACCATGAGGCGGGACAAGCTGAGAACTTGGTTTTTATCTGAGAGCCCTTCTCCGTTCTCCAAGAGAGCCTCCAACTCCCCATCCACCTATGAAAATGAAAGGGAAAGTTGTACAAACTACAGGTGCTCCCGCCCCCTAAGGCAGGCTTCATAAGCACGGACTGGCATTTGGTGCAGTTTTTTTCCCCAGTGATAAAGGGTCTGGACTAGATCACACTGGACCTGTAGCACAGAAACAGCAGCCAGATCAGATACATAGGAAGCAGGAGGCAACCTCATCTTCATCCTAAAGAAACTTTATTTATGAATATGATGTGTGTAAGAAATGATACATGGCACTAGTAAGAAACAAGTATTAACTTGTATATAATCATAACTAGTTCTAAGGATAATATAGAGATAATTTATCTGAAACAAAACAGTAAGTCTACAATAAAGGGATGGAGAGAGAAAAGCAAATGTTTATGTCTTATTTTCAAAAATTTTATTCTAGTATTATACACAAGAAACACTTTCTAATAAACCTGGAAGCTTGACTTCCAAAGCAGCTTGAGATTCTCTAACAATGTCTTTCTTAAAACTACTCCAGAGTTGACAGGATACGTAAAACTTTCTAATGCACAGAAGCACATTTATTCAGCTACATATATTTTTACAGCCAAGCAATAAAAAGGTGCCCTTTTCATACAAGACTAAATTGCTCAGAATTTTTGGCTATTTGTGTGGATAGGGGGGTGAGGGCAGTGGGGTTCCAGCTGCAGAATGCTAGGTGATTTTCAAGCCTGGTAATTCTGCAGGCAATGCCGCAGATTTAATCCCCATACAAAATTGCCTGGATTTAATTTGGATGAATTAATATCCAAAGGAAAATTATATCTCATTTTCATCTTACATTTTCACGATGACTGTTGTTCTCTGGTGATTGCTTTTATGTACAAACTAAAATATTTCACATTATATGGGTTTCTTGCGTGGCAACCCAAGCTCAGCAACAGAGGTGGCAACCTTGGCACAGGACAGACCTGCCTGCTGTGAAGCAGGAGGCCTTACTGAAATGGCGGCATGGACACCAGACCTCAGCCAAGTATTCTGGGAGTGGCCAAAGGCCCCAAAACCACACAATTCTACTGGCTCTTCGCTGATGGTTCCGACTTGCCTTGCACAGGATACCACTGCCTTTCTGCTGGTCCAAATTCTGTTGCATGGCAGTTACAGCTTGGTGGACTGGTAAGTTTGGAATGTCTGCCTGACACCAGCACAGGGTAGCTGACCCACCTCTGGGCTTTTGGAGAGGTCCCATCAAGGAACACGAGAGGCCAGTCCCCGCACCAAGGGCCCACTGCAGCGGAGCACGAAGGCGAAACCTGCTTCCCGGCCCCCCCATACTTACGGAATCTTTCTTACGAGACCGCTCCTTCTTCATCTTGCCTCCTGCCGCTCTGATGCTGACCCTGTTCTCTCCACCCAGGTAGCCCCGGCAGTTGGCAGAGCCACAGAAACACTTCTGCGCTTCTTTGCTATGCAAAATACACACAGATCACAACATGACAGAGGGCAGGATTTCCAGGAGGGCTGTGTATGCATGATCGGACTGCTGTTTTCATCACAACAGCCAACACGGCCCTTAAACATTTGCCTTCAGAAACCCGTATTAAAAGCTTCCCTTGCCAGCTTAACTCCAGAGGAAGGACAAGGAGCGTGGTGTAACAATGCTCTTGGCCAAATTACACTCTTCGGTGCTCAACTTGGGCACTTTTAATAGCTTTTGTTCTCACCACTCATGCCTTGGAATGTCTGATTAAAGAAGCGTTTAGTGTGAATCTGCAGCCCTTCCAAATAAAGTCCAGGCTCTCTGTGAAAAGGGGCACATCTGCATATTCCTTCTTTTGCCCTCATGTACATGAAAGGACAGAGGAAACGATACCTGGGGCAGTCCTTGCAAACTGGTTGCACAAGATGTTGCCTCCTCCGCACTGCCAGAATGAAGCAAACCTGCTTTTAGCAGACTACATTATGGTTGCTAGAGTGGGACCCCAACAATCCGGTTTAATCCTGTTTTTATTATATTTGCTGCTATGCTGTGCATTGATTTATATTTTAATTGCTGCACGTTGTTTGAATGTTGGTTTTATGGTTTTTGTTTATTTAAATATTATTGTACTGTTGCTTTGTGTTTTTAAAATTGTAAACCTTCCAAAGAGCCCAATGCACTATGGGGCGGTATAGAAATGTGATAAATAAATAAACCAGCAGATATGATACTTTTTTAAAAATTGCTTTACCCATGCAGTCCATCTTATAGCACAACAGACATTATTACAGACAGAACAAGTGCCAAATATTTGCATGAGCTGACCTCCTATCCTCCTTCCCTCTGATACTTTATTTCTACCATCAAGTTCTTTTTTTCCCAAAATGTTTCAGTATTTTCCTGCTGTTTCCAGGTATAAAGAATTTGCTAAGTGCCCTGTAGTTGTTTATGCAACAGGATGGCCACAAAGTGTATTCTATATCATCTACAAATGGGTAAAGTCCAATGTAAGGGCTATTCAGAGAAGACCTACTGAAATAGACAGGAGTTAAGCTAAATATGACTAACATAAATCCCATGTCTGTTCTAAGTAGGCCTTTTGTTGGATTTTATTCTAATCTTATGCCTTGTTTCTTAAAATAGCTACCATCAAATTTTAAAGGATTTATGAAATTTCAGTACTATACTACTCTACTCTACTATCAAAAAGTTTTAGATAGTGCAAGTGGAAGTTAATTATTCTAGAAACTAGGCCCATGGATGGAGGTAAACTTTAGCTAACATGGAATTTATTCAGAACAAGAACCTTAATTATGTATTTATTTACAGCATGTATAGATCGACCTGCGACAAAAATTCCTTAGGCCAGCTTATAATATAAAATCAAAGTGTCCAAAATCCAATAACTGTAAAGGAAGTCAATATATCCCAGAGTTTGCCTTTGTTCTCTTTTTAAAAAAAGAAAACATTTTCCTTCTCTATGGTAAAGGAGCATGCAGGAAGAGACAGAAAGATTCTACTTTGTCCAATGTCCGTGACAGTTCAGGATTAGGAGTACATGCTGTTCTGTAACAGATACTATCTACTGGTGTTTTCAAAATTTCATTTTAAGTTACTCTGAATACTTAGCTAAAAGGTGGAAAACAACAGATATTTTTTCTTCCACAAGTAAGAGCATGAACGATGGAAGGCTTGGCTTTCTAGTTCCAAAAAGATGGACTTGTGTCGATGCTGCACTAGAACCCTTGACTTGCCCTTTTGCCAACAGTGACTACTTCACAACTATGAAACAAGCGTAACATCAACACTTACCCATATCTCTGGAACTGGTAGTCAAATGTTAGTTCTGAGCCCGACGGGACTAGCTTTGTGGTAAAAAAGCCAACCCTTAGCTGTCCATTCACTGTCCACTAAATAGGATAGACCAAAAAGTGTACAGGATGTTTAATACGCATAATCATATATGATTTTTGAAGCTTACATATACTACAAATTGCTCTGTATATGCAACAAACTTGGCATCAGCATAATGATCTCTAGATCAAGAGAACCCAGCAGTAAACACAGATCCGGTTTTGTTGGAATTGCAGGGTCAGGAATTCATGGCATCCAGCTCAAAAGCAGCAGATGCTAAAAGTGCATTTCCAGCTTACCAATCACTGAGGCATCATTCGAACCATGGTACACTGCTTTACCCATGTAAAACTCAGATCAGTTGCAGTTCTACAGAAATTGCTGGAATGCCTGTGCTGTTTTTGCATCTAAAGTAACTTCTATTTTCTCCTAAGAACTTTCTGGATCAGATCAAATATGCATCACCACATGCTGAGGACAAACAGGACAACTGTTGCCTTCGTATTGTGTATCCTAGGTGTTTCCTGCTAGAAGCCATGTTGCTCAAGCAGCCAATTTCTGCATTCAGATCGTGACTGTTACTTCAAATTAATGTTTTGACCTAACAAACATGGGAAAATTTATTCAAGCGGCATTTTAACTGTTAATATTATTGGATTTTATCTGGCCAGGGCGGCTTATTTTATACTGTATTTTTGTATTTTTAATTTAATGTTTATATTTTTGATTTATATTATAATTACTTTAACTTAGTGTTGTAAGCCGCCCCGAGGCTTCGGCAAATGGGGCGGCATAAAAAAAAAGGTTTTAATAAATAAATAAATAAATAAATAAATAAATAAATAAATAAATATTCAGCACACACACACCGCTGACTCTTTTGCCCTCTCTGTCCAACGGTACTACAGCCTCCAAAACATCTCTGCCTGTCCACATGACAGAACATATTGCTTCTGCTCCTTTAGACGCGTAAAGCGCTTTTCCGTCAGCAGCGTTTTTCTGCCTGGAATTTCTTTTGTCCCTCTTCCTAGCATTCTCTCTTCCCACTATCTAGCTAAAAGATTGAGTAACCGACCCCGCCACCCCAAAGGCAAAACACAACATTCTAAAACACAAAACGGTGACTGTGTTTTGGGTACACTGTCCCTTGGAAGAGCAAAGCCGTTTGCGTAAAATCTTCACGAATGCTGAAGTTCATACCTGCTTGGTTTTAACGTCTTAGTCATGACAGTAGGGAGAAGTTCTAAGACTTTCCTCTTTATCAGAGCATTTGTCCAAATACGTTACACCCTGTAAGCCACACACCTCCTACCATCACGCAGGAGTTTCAATTCTAGGCAATCATGCTGGGCAGAATAATTCCCCCCTCAGTAGCAGAGTATCGGGCAGACTGCTGAAGCCTCTGCCGGAAAAGCTATGCCCCTAGTTATCAGAGATGTGATGGCCAGGAGACATTAGTAAGATTAATATCGAATGACCTAAGCCCACTGGATGTTGGGCCACATGTGTTGGTTCCTACATCATCCATTTTTACAGCCAGCTTGTTTTAAAATTGCCAAGAATAAATCAATACCAGAAACAGAGGACATCTGACCTTCGCTCCAGCTGCTTAAGCTTTAAAACTGAGGGCCAATTTGCATACTTTGGCCCCTAACGTGGATGTTGCCTGAATTCCCCATGCGGTGTGCATGATGCTTAGCATGCTCTCACCCTACCCAGTGGTTGGGCTAGTTAAAATCCTTTTAAATCTTGGTGTCCACCAACAAATACAAAATGTCCTATGGTACCACAGCGGTAGGAATACACGAATCTTTCTTTAAGCCCACACCAAGCAGGAAACGGTGAGAGCTTCTTCCTGCAACTCACCTTCTGAGTCTCACAGTTTGGCTCACAGCTGTGGTTCATAAATCGAGAGCAGTTTCCCTTCTGGGTGGCATCTATTATCTGAAAAGAAAATTAAAATATCTGAGTGTTCAGTCTGTTTCAGATGCAAACCATTAAAGACATAATCTTCTTTCAGACAGAACTTCCCCACCTTACAATGAAGAAAATGCTATATACGCTTCTGAAATATTTAACTAGATTTATATCTCGCTTTTTCCAACAAGCTCAATGCAACTTATATTATTGTTCTCCTGCTGCTCCCAATCTTATCCTCACAACAGCCCTGTGAGGCAGGTAGGGCTGAGAGTCTGTGACTGGCCCAAAGTCACCCAATTGGCTCCATGGCAGAGCAGGGACTCGAACCCAGGTTGCCTGAGTCCCAGTCCTGCACTCTTAACCATTTATTTATTTGGCTCTCCAAATAAATGATTACGCATATTCAGATTGTCTAAGGGTTATTAGTCCATGGTCAAAAGGATCACAAGTCCCTCAGGAAAAGCTGTGGGACTTTTTTATGGAAAATAGTTTTTATGGAAAAACTATTGTAAGAGCTGTGAGATAAACAGAAAAAATATATTTATGAATAATCTGTTATAAGTACTTGGACAAAGAATTTAACGAGAGAGAGAGAGAGAGAGAGAGAGAGAGAGAGAGAGAGAGAGAGAGAGCGCGCGTGCGCGCGCGCGCAAGCAAGCAAGCAAGAGAGAGAGAACAGCTTGTGTTACAAGTGGCTTTTAGAGTAATTGTTAGGAATGCATGATACAAAGATGAAGATGGGAGAAAGGAAATGCTATGTTTAATTCTGTGCCAATTTCTTTTCACTGAAAATGTTTTTTAAATAAAATATTTTTAGTTTATCCCATTGCCAACCCTCAATCACTGGAAACTTCATTTCTGTATCTCATTAACTCATGTTAACAACCATGTCAGTTGCTGCTATTCCCGTTCTACAGAGAAAGCTCACACTCACCTCATCATTCTTCAGTGCCATGAAGTAGTAATGGATGTTCTTACTTCTGGCATACTCTTTTACTCGTGTTTTGAACTCTTTGTGATCCAACACTTCACCACAGTATTCCAGAACAAAAGTGTTACTAAATATGATTGGGGGAGGGGGGAGGGAGAAAGGGGTTAAAAACACAATAGCAGCCAGGTTTCGGAATACCTTTCCCCATGTGAATCCATCCATCCATCCAGACTCTGAGCTTTGAGATCTCAGAGAGAGGCCCTGCTCAGGGCTCCATCTCATAGCAATGCTAGAATGGCTTTACCGGGAACAGGGCCTTCTCGGCAGCTATGCCACAAAGCAGGAAACCCACCTGTGAGAGATGCACTGAGCCCTGTAACTGGCTAACTTCCAAAAACCAGCTAAGTCCTCTCTGTTTTGCCTAGGCTTAGAACTATAACCTGTTGATTGGTTTTGCATAATTTTGTCCCTCAATTTGTTTTACTGGTTTTACTCAATGTATTACTTATTTTTATTGCTAACCATGCTAATTTCTACACTGCCCAAAAGCCAAAGCACTGAATAAAACTTAAATCCCAATTAGAATGTTACTCATCACTGCACCACGGCCAGGAAGTTTGTTGTGTGGGCTATTCCTTTATTTGGTTTTATAAAAGGAATTTAATGATCATGCTGATTTTGCGTCATCACAAGGCATACCTTTTTGCACATGGGCTCCGCATTCAGTTGCTGGACACTACTGGTAGCAGTGCTAGGAAGGAATGCCCTGCCCAAGGCTTTGGAGATTATTATTATTATTATTATTATTATTATTATTATTATTATTATTATTATAACTAGTCAAAACGGACCAGTCTTCCCCCACTGCAGCGCCCTCCAGAAGTCCTGGACTGCAGCTCTTGTGAGCCCCAGCCAACAAGATCAACGGCTGGGGATGATTATAGAATAGCAGAGTTGGAAGGGGCCAGAAGCCCATCGAGTCCAACCCCCTGCTGCGGCAGGACACCACCCCACTCAGAGGGCTGAATGTCTCCAGCAAGAGAGAGCCTGCAACTTCCTCACGTAGTAAGTTCCACTGTCATGGTGTAGAATCTCCAGCAGGAACGTAGCTGGAGAAGTCTGGAACAAACCAGACTGGCTTCCATTGACCCAAGGACTAAGGCAGCTTCACACACTCACTGGTGTGTGCAAAAGACACTAATGCAGTGCCAGTTGTACTAGGGCTGCCACTTGCCACCTTCTGGGCCCACACATGAGCCTAACTTGAACCAAAGCCAGGCAGGATCCTGATGCCATGATCCTGAAGCTTCACTCTGCTCCGCCCCTACTGTCCAGCCTTCTCCTGGGTTGGGGTCAGGAGGGCAATGGTGCTCAGCTATCCTGCCAGCCACTGGAATCCCACTGAAGAAAAGGTTGCAAGGGAGGGGGGAGGTAACAACAGGTCCACCTTCTGCAAAGCAAAGGCCAAGCAGACTCACATGCTGCCTAAAGCCGCTCCAATGGCAAGGGAACAAAAATACTCTCTTCCTGCTAAGCCCAAGAACAAACGCTTCACTGCCCAGCGGGAGGTGTTCTGTGCAAAAGAGGGGGAGACTGAAAGGAGTTCTCCCACTTAGCAATGAGGGAAGCCTTACGATGGGAGGTCTTTGGCCGCTCTCAACCCCCAGCCTTTCTTCTCCGTTAGGATGACTTCTACATCTGCATGTTGCTTCCTCTGGAAACGCCGATTGGAGCAGTATTCCCCATTTGGACATCTTGAAGAACTAAGCACGAGAAAGAACAGCAAGATAATTCATGCATCAGAAGCCGTGCTCACAGAATTGCCCTGTTTGTTGGAAGCACCCTATAAAGCCTACAAACATGCCTGCCTACGAAAGCACAACTAACCCTACAATTTCCAGGGATAATGAGGCGCTTGAGTACCATGACGTGAGCATGAATGCTTCACAGGGCTAAAAAGTGTTCGGGCTGCTTTCTCTGAATCATTCAAGCGATCCCGTAAGACCTAAGACAGAAGATGAAATCTACTTCCAATTATTAATCCCACCGTTCTTTGTAAGCTGCCTGTGAGCATAATGGAATGAAAGAGCAATGTGATTCCAAGGGCAGAACAGGCAATAATCATCAGCACTACCTGAACCCTTCAAAGGCCCACTGGACAAAGATGCCTTGCATTTCTCCTTAAACACACACAGAAATGCGCTCCTTCAATCCTCTGCAAAACGGCAGGGAACAAATCCACTTGGTCACTGGCAGCAACATCTGCAGGCAGCATAAAAGCAGCCCGTTCACCCTGTTCGACTGCCAGTGAGCCAGTGTGACATGGGAGTGCTGGGCCAGGGCTCTGGAGACCCAGGTTCTAGGCCCCACTCGGCCATAAAACTCACTGGATGACTCTGGGCCAGTCAGTGACTCCCAGCTTAGCCAGCCTCACAGGACTGCCACAAGGAGCGGGGGGACTGTGTGCTCTGACTTGGGCTCCTCGGAGGAAAGGCAGGACCTAACCCTAACAAATAAGTAAGAAGAACCAACAGACTATTTGGCTTCATAGCAAAATCTCTTTTTCTCTTCTCACGCATCAGCGTTAGGGGAGGCGACCACAGGAGCAATCAATTTGCGAAATAATCCTTACCATTCTATCATGAGGAGACGGTTTAGACAATCTTCCCCACATGCCACGTCACCTTGAGCTCTCTCATCTTTGGAAAGTGTGGGACATTCACAAAGCATCCGCTTGATGTCACGGTGCGATTTATTCTTTTTCCTATGGAGCATTCCACAGAACAAACTTCAGAACAGTACTATACCGGCCAGCAAAGCATGAAAAATGTATTTAAATGTCTGGGGCCTTGAGGATTAAATTCACGTATGCAGCCTCAACAGGCTTTGCACCTTTTGAGGACCCCTGCTGGCTTTTCTACATACACAACTCAAGATGGCAGTGTGTCGTATTCAACAGATACACATTTTCTTCTCAGACTTAACAGGAATCAATTTCAGGGGTGGTGAAAATGCAGAAAAAGAGGTTTCCCGAAGGAAGTGCACTCAAAAGGGTTGGTAGCTTTTGGGAAGTGTTCTTCCTTCTAGCCCCATCCAAAACCAATCTAGGCCAACCAACATGAGTAACGACATCCCTCTGCACTCATATAAACTCTGCTGTTGTCAAAAACATTTATATCCTATGTAAGGCATGCTGTCTCCATGTTAGCATATCTTATTTTAACAAGTAACAACACAATTACCTTTCTGTCAAATAGACATTCTCTTCAATAAGGTCAAAGTAACAGGGCATTTTCCCTTGCTTGGCAAACTCTTTCCAGCGCTGTGGGTCCCTGAAGTCTTCCATAAAACACAGTGGACGAGCTGCTGAGCCATCTTGAGGCACAACCTGCAATCTCTCGCCCTCCGTTTTGACCTTCTTCCTTTCCTGGGAGTCCCCATCACTCTCCGAATCACTCTCCAAGTCTGTCCGCCTTTTCTTCAGTGGCCCACGCTCCTTCATGTCATTTTTATCCAAAGCCTTATTAACGTGCTCTTTTCTTTCACCTGGGGCCATCAGCTCTTTAGCAGAGTTACTGCTTATCTCATGTGCCTGTACTGAACCCTTCTCCCTAGGGTCTCGGGCTTGGAACTTAACTGACTGGCTTGCAAAGTAGGGATGGCTTTCATCAACCCATCGGTCAACTTCTTCATACTCCTCATGATCTTCTGTAAGTGAATCAGGGACCTGCCCTTGTACCTGTTCATAATTCATCCCAGAGGGTCTATTAGCCAATCTTGGATCCCAGTAGCCATTGTCATGCCAGTAGTTATGAGACCCAATGTATGGTCCTGCAGCTGGGGGATACACGTAACCTGAGAAAATGCCATAGCTGCTATCAGGCTGCTGGTATGTACTGCTTGGTTTCTCTGGCTGGGAGAAATCCCAACCCAGGTTACCCAAGTCCTCGGCTGAATGAAAGCCATCCTCTCGAGAGAAATCTCCCACGTTGGAGAGATTGCCGAAACCAGATTTCTCTTGCCTACTGTCTGGCTTGGTAACACTGGCCTGCAGCCTGGATATATTGTCATCCATTTCAAAGTTCCTGGAAAAGTAGCGCAGCCCTTCTTCTTGTGAAATGCCTATTGACCGAGTTAGATACGTTCTTTCATTTAATACTGCTCTTTCTTCTGGATTTGGCTTACTAACAGATTCCAATGCGTGCTCTGACTGACTTGTACTGTCTACACCGTCGCTCTGAGGGTGGGAGGCATCAGGCTGAAGGCCTTCAGTTTCTACTCTACTGAGCTCAGTCAATATTGCTAGGCTTCCCTCTGAAGCTCTAGAAGAGAAGCACTTGTTCTCGTTTTGCGCACCGTTATTAGGTTCCAGGTCATCCGGCATTTCTTCGTAGAACGGCTTGCTGGACTCTGGCCTGCCATCTTCCCAATGATCCAAGTAGCGCCTGTTACTCTGGCTGTTCCGTGAGGAACAAGAACTGCTCTCTTCCATGGGTATGGTAGAATTCTTTGGAATAACCACGACTGATTGAAGGCGATTCCTTGGAACACCACTGTCATCTGAATCAGAGTCCTCTGTATCACTTTCATCACTACCCTGGTCACTGGCACTTTCAGCCACATCGGAATAATCTTCATGGTGAATAGTGTGAGTACTCTCAGGTGTATTGCCATGACTGTCACACCTGGGTGCTTCAGCTACGGTTTCTGTTTCTTCTACCGTCACAACAATATCACAAGATGGGGATAAAGAGTCTGAAAATACAGATCCCACCAAGGAGTCGTCCCCTTTGTCATTTATCACTGAGACTTCTGGAGAATGGTCTTTCAGGTCCAACACAGTTCTTTTAACAGGAGCAGCTGAATCTTCCTCCTCCTCTGGTTGCTCATCATCCACCGGCATCTCTAAATAGTAAGAATGCTCATTTTTAAAAGGCGATTTTGCTTTTTCCACAATGGAATCAACATGTGGAATATCTAGTTCAAGTGCTACTTCAGGACACTCTAAGAGCTCTTCCTTATTTTCAGAAATTTGTTGTTGCTGTGCAATACATTGATTGTCTAACTTCACTTCAACCAAATATTCCTCTGTAGATGAATTGCTAACAGAGTTATGCTCTACTAAGCTAAAATGCTGAACAGAATTTTCATTTTCATGGGAAGATTTTAATGAACTGTTTTCTTCTACTTCCATGTACTTGAACACTTCAATTTGTGGTTCTACATGAATATCCATAGAAGAATGCGTAGCTTTTGTATCTGAAGGCTCAGCTTCAATTTCAACTTCTGAGTAATACAAGGAAAGAGTGGCATCGTCTGAAACATAGCAAGGGATGGCATCTTTGGTTCTATTACAGGGATCTGTTAGATCATCCACTTTATTTGTTAATGTTTTAGAATGATTTTTATTTACAATACAGGAAGGTACACATTCATATTCAGAAGAAAGTGAAACATCTGTTTTTTCTTTAAGCAAATGAATGGACTCATTTGAAAGGACAGTGGAATCACTCAGTTCATGCCCTTTAGATAGATACACAGTTTGAAACCCGTTAGATGGTAACTTGTTCAAACTAGGGCTTTTGATTTGAAATGGTGGCTCAGACCCAGCTAAATTATCATCAGACACTGCGATCTCCTCTACTTTGGAGGTACAGAACAGTGTGGTATCACTGGGCCTACTTTCTGGGGACCCATTTATATTTAGTTCTATGGGAGAACACGCTCTTAACTGATCATGTTTCAACTTGACTAAAGATTCCACTTCCTTAATACTGTCATGGCTATCAACTCCTGCAAATTCATTCGACTTAGAAATAGGAGAGCCCTCTTTTGATCCATCTAGCTTTCTGAAAGTAGGTGAATCGCTTAACTGACTTAATGGGGAAACAGTCCTTTCTGCTTCTGGCCTCCGTGCAAGAGCAGTTTCTGTTTCACAGGTCTGTACACAAGATGCCTCCAAGTCTATACAATTAGACTGCTCTCTGATTTCCTCAGATTCTGTACAACAGAAAGAACTTTTAAATTTATCTGACTTTGAAACAGATATCTTTGAAGAGCTGGACTTATGTCGGGAAGAATTCACACTGTTATCTGCTTTAGAATGAGATGCTCCCCTTCGATGTCGCTCACTAGCTGGCGAGCATCTCTTTGATACATCACTTTCTGAAGTCCTTTTTGCTTCTCTGTCTGATTTTGTAGGCTTTCCTTTTCTCTCTGACTCAATATGAGAGGATTCCGTTTTGCTTTCCCGTTCAGACTTTGAATAAGAAGAAGAGGTCCTAGAGTCTCTGTAAGAGGAGGAATGGGAAGACATGCGCCTTGAGTCTGTAGACCTGGAGTAAGTCCTCCGATACTCTTCTTCTGAATCAGAACTCTCTCTTGCCCTAGAATCCATGTAAGAACGAGAATATCGTGTTTTCTCTCTATACGGGGAGCTCCTGTGGTACCTTCGGTCAGAGTCATAGTAATGTGACCGTTCAGATCTGGAATAGGAAGAACTAGTTCTAGAACCTCTCTCTGATCTAGAACGAGAATGGGATCGGCTTCGCCTCCTCTCTCGGTCAGATCTGGAACGGGAGGAAGAATATCTTGAGTCTCTTTCAGACCTTGAGTAACTAGAATATTTTTCATCCCTGTCAGTTCTAGACCGCGATGATTTTGTCTGTTCTTCAATTCTGAGAGAAGCAGAACTCTTTCGTGACTCTTTCTCCTTCTCTGAGCTTGCTGATGTTTTAATTTCGTGGGATCTCTGACTTGAAGAGGTTCTTACAGAATCTTCATCCGATTCAGAACCTGGCAATGTGCCATCAGACAGAGAGAACTTCCTCTTGGAGCCCTGTTTCTTAGAACTTAGAGAAGCCCCTTTTGAGCCATCTGAAACTTCCTCCTCCTTCCCAATATGGGAATGTCCTTTTGTTGGGATGAGTTCTGCTTCCTCAGAAACAACTTGAGCTAAGTGTTCTTCAGAGCCATCCAACACAGAATTTTGCTTAGCATTCAATTCTAAAGTTTCCTGTGGAACTTTAACTGAGGGCTCCTTCGTTGTTTGGACAATGGTTTCTAAAGGTAAAGGTAACGGAGGTGGAGCTGCTGTTGGTGCTGCGATCAGAACTTGTGTCAAAGTTTGTGGGATTAGTACTGGTGTTGGTGCAGGTAATATCGGTGGAGGAGGTGGTGGTGGAGGGGGTGGAGGAGATGCTGGCAATTCAACAGATTCCGGTGTAGCAGTTGGTGCTGGAACCACTGGTGGCGGTGGCACTGAAGCAGCTGGGGGAGGCTTTGTTGTAACATTCAACAGATGTTTCTTAAAATGAATCTTGCCTAATTCCACCTTAGGCTTTGGTGGTGAAAATTCTTCCACGACACCAGAAGAATCCCCAAGATCCATTTTAATTTTAGAGGCAAAGTCAGTTGGCAGGGGTGCAGCTGGGGGGTTCGAAGTTTCATTTTGTTTGTCATTCCCAAGGACAGCCAGAAATCTGTTCTGCAATGTTTTCTTGGTTAGACTGAAGCTGAAGGACACCTTTTGTCTGCCTTGCTCCTCAAGGTTAACTTTTGTTCGGGTGCCTTTGGGCAAAAAACGGCTAGATGCAACTCCCTTGAACACTGGCCCTTTAACAAAACCAGGTTTCTGTGCATTTTCGATCTTGCCCTATGACAAAAGAAATTTGCAAATGAAGTAATAGTTTTCAAAATAAATTCTACTCAAAATACACCACTAGCATGAAAGGAAGTACATATTAAAAGACCAAAAATGCAAAAGAAGATTGTATAATAAATAAATAAATAAATAAAAGAAGATTGTAACTCTGCAGAAAGACAAACCTAACCTGGGAGCCTATATACAAACTGAAGAGCATATCACCTGACACCCTGACTGCTGTTGTTAAGAAGCTTCCATGCAACCCGTTTGGCACAATGAGGAATTCCCTTCTTTGGCCACAGGTAGGCGGCAAAGGGGGGCTGCTGAGGGCTCGAGTTCTCTCCCTGGAAGTAGGAAGATGCACTAATCAAATTCTGGGCCAAGTCTGTGAAGCAGGTTACTGTATGAGCTTCACATTAATCCTTAGAACTTCTGATAGTTATTCCAAAATGCCCAACACAGGATTTCTCAAGCCTTTCTTCTTTCCCTCAAACAACATGAAATGAAACAAAACCTATGAACGGTTCAATTATAATTACTTTCTAAAAATAGGAAGAGGAAATAGAAATGGTTACACTCACCTCGTTTTCTTCTTCTCTGTTGTAATTCACCAAGAAAGCATGCGAAGAGAGAGAGAGAGAGAGAAACAGAGAATGCATGAAAATGAAGAGGCATCACAAGATGTTTGCCTTCACATTAAAAGCCCTTTGCCTGTGCTGAATTGTAACTTAGCTACAGGTAAGTATCGCTTTGGTAAACTGGGCTGCTTAAAAACTTAAGTTTAGATCTATACTGCTGTTAAATTATTATTCAGGCCCTTTTATACATAGGCAACAAAGATTCTCTGGCATCACATTCTACTGTCTAACATCGTGTTGAAACAAAAGGGGAAAAGGCTTAAGCTGTCTATTTGCACAGAAAATGTAGGCATGTCAGGGGTCCCAGCAGTGTATTAGTTCTCTTTTCCTCAAAATATTCAACTTCTGAATATCCTAATTCCTCCTGTGCTACAGTCAATGGGATTATAGAAAAAGTAACTGAGGAATAGGACAGCATATGCTAGCCACCTCCAAGGAGGAAGGGGTATTTAATTCTGGAGATAAACTGTTTTCCAGAATTTTTACATTCAACATACATTTATAGGGTAAACCTTGTTAAAGCAAATTAGGTTATGGTTTTCAGTATTTTCCTGTTCAGCCACCCTGCCCAACCATTCCAAAGCATTCCAAATTATTCAGCTTCTACTTTTACTAACAAACATGGATGGAACAATTCTACTTTCAAGCATGAAGTCTTGAACAATTACAGATATATAGACTATCCATACAGTGAAGATGAAACTTCTCTTTAGGTCTTGGCGATCATTTTCCCAGCACCAAGAAGAGGTAAAATTCATACTTCAGCACCTTTCCCTTACCCTCCTATCACAATCAATACTCATCAGAGGCTAAAGCTCCTAAGCTCCATGGTAGAGCACATATTAGGTAGTCAATATGGAAGCTATGGAAAAACTCCAAGAACTGGGTTTTTATGTAATTAAACCTACCCATGTCATTACATGCATGGAGTCTTTTCCACAACTTGCAAGACAGGGAGTCCTTTTGAAAACATTACAGCAATTTTTTAAAAATATTATTTTTAAAGCATTTTTCAAATAAACAGCAGTGAGGGTTTGTCAGCAAATTCTGAATTAGAAAATTTTCTCGAAAACTTTGCTATCCAAACAAGTTAATTTGCACAGATCATTTGTGGCTGGGCACAAAGCAGTCGAAAAGGCTGGCCACACACTGCTGTCCACTGCGGTTTAAATAACCTGCCGCAGGTGTTTGTGTGAAGTGGCCCCATGAGTTATTTAACCCCCAAATATTTACAAATTCTGATATAAAGAAGAATGTCAGGCAGTATGCAGTTGAACAAAAAGATGGCAAAGTTTTTGTGACACAACAGAACTGAAAGGAAATTAGCATGTAAAATAGCTGGCCCCAGCGCAAGCAACAGCAACAGCCAGCACTGCACAGCTATTCAAGGGGAAGATTTTCTTAAGTCAGTCCATTATATGGGAGAAATTATGAAAAGGTTTGACACTGCCACCAACATGTAGAAAGACGGTTCTAAGTTAGCTGCATATATTCAAAGTAAATGCAAGCTTCTGCCAAACAGGAACATGATGGCATGACACAGCCCTGTCTGATTAAATTACCATCACTAACAGAGCAACCCAAGACTTCCTATTAGCCAGTGAGGCAAGTCACACACTCAGCTACAGATCTCTATTGTACTCCATTACAAATGCTTGCAACAGGATGCGGAAAAGAGAGCATGGCACCTGCTCCTTTTACAGTAGTAAAGCATTCATTGCCCCGCTCAGCACATCATGCACCATTCCACAAAAGCATGCAAAAAGTCAGGGAGGCGGAAGACACATGCAAGGGTCGAAAGTGAAGACCCTTGTTCCACTCTGAGTTGCAAACTGAGAGCGAGTGACTGAGCACTGAAACAGTACGAGTGGGCAATTTGAGATAAAATCTGTACCCACCAAGCACTGCGCGCTGCTGTGAATTGATTCTTTATGGATAATGCACTGGAAATGATAACACTGACTTTTCAGCCTGCTCCCACAATATCCCAGCTTCCTGTTTTGTTTTTCACGAATTGAAAGCTAGCTGGGTGCACAGCACGACAGCAAATTTCCTTTGCTACTCTAAGTGGAAAATGAAGGAAAATTGTGGAAACACTGCACCAACTCTTCTCCATCCCAGCATGTCAAGCTTTAGCTGAAAAAAATCAGTTTGCTCAAATAAATTGGTGGCTTGAGACTATTACTTTTACAATTCCCAAGTTTCTATGATATTAAGAATGCCTTCTTTTGTTTGAACAAACACAATACTAGGCACACTTGGCAGTTTCAAAGTTCGTACTCATGTTTTCCAGTTGTTCACCTGTAGCATATATGTACGTCACTGAAATGCATACATCTCAGTGTAACTGAAGGTACCCCAACAAAGTGGCCAACAGGGCAACCTCTGCTGAAAGGATGAGTGGTCATCACCGTATCATGCTCACCTCTTTGGCCGCTAAAATTTGCTGATGTATCAACAGTTTTCAGTACTTTCCCCCCTTAAATTTAAATTCAAACACTGTAAAGGAAGTACAAGCATTCCAATAAAAATGTCTACATGATATAGCATTTAATTCATATTGCACGTCTTGACTTTTCCCTAAGTGTTTCAGGTCAAGCACTTGTGCTGCATTGGAACAAAAAAAATTAACAGCTGGTACTTTTTGAAAGTTATTTTTTCTTAATGCTAGGAAAATAAACATGCTAAATTTCATCTCTGCATGGCATGGCAGGGCAAACTGTGGCCCTCAAATTGTTTTGGTCAATGACTGCCATCAGCTTGAGCCAAATACGTTCTTCATCTGATGGATTTGGTAGAAAACAGTATCATAAATACCAAAATATAAACAACTGGCATGTGGTACTTGTCCTACAATTCAATATCCTACCATTTTCTTATATCAGAAATTAGTCTACACGAACTCTGCATAGAGGGTCTGGACACAGGAGAAGACAGAAAATTATACATGTGTATACGACTGCCTAATAGATAGGAAGGGATAAGATGGTCAGATTCTGTGCCTACAGGTGGTGTAAACAGTGTCAGCACTTAGCTGTGCAAACAGATGGGGCGCTGAGAGGCCAATGCTTTTAGTACATGAGCATCTATCACAAAGTACATGAGCACCTATCTAACTGCATGGTTCCACAAATGACTTGGGTAATGTAGAGAAGGCAAGGCAGGAAATAATTTTCAGAATTCTCTCATTCTGAAGTGTGCCATCCCCAAGCTCTTATTATGACCCACCTACAAAACTGAGCATCCAGTGGACTGGCATGCGCATTTATTTAGTTAACAAATAAAAATGTACTGTCTTACCTACTAAAAGCCGTCAGGGTTGTGTACAACAACTCCAAAACAATTTAATGCAATTTGTGCCTTCCTTCTTCCAGTGATAAGGTGGTGGCAGAGTTGGGTAGTCAGAAGTGGGCAAAAGCGCCAAAATGAGGTGCAGGCCGCACAATATTAAATTCTGCTTGCAAAGAAGAGTGCACAGTAAAAACCTGTGGTGGCAAGCAATCAAAACCACTCAAGTCTGTCAGATCTGGCACACGCATCTTTTCCTTTTGTGCAAAAGAAATGCAAAATTATATTCAAGATGAGAAAAGTCCAAACCTAACACTTTTGTATGTACATTTCAAAAATCTGCTGCACTGTTATATGTTAATTTGTTTCATTTACTTTTTACACATGTTCTTCTAGGACCCAAATGATTCACTTACATTTTCCTCATTATTCTAGCAGTATAGGTTATTTAGCTACACTAGCTGGGATATGCAGATAAACATGGGCCTTTTTCTGTCTAAACATACATAGGATTGTACCCTTAATCATTTTATTGTGTTTAATATACATTTGGAATAAAGTACAAGATTTTCATTTACAAGATGTGCATCAAATCTGTTATTTTTAATGTTCACAAAACCGATGCGTAAACCTTAAACCCCCAAACATCACTGCACACACTTTCACGGATGAGCAGTTTGGGTATTTTATTACATGGCCCCCTTTTTTCTATCATGGAACTCATGGGAATATCCATGGGTGCTCCCAGGCAATCTCTCCACCCAGCACTGGCCGAAGCCAGATTTGCTTAGCTTCAACAAGGGTTCTGCAGCACATATCTACATAGCTTGGACCATAGCCTGGAAGGAATGTCTCACATGTAATTTCAGTTAGCATTTCATATGCTGCCTTGGGGAAGAGTTGTGCCCCAATTCCTTTAAAGGAAGCAATGGTAAAAGCCTTTCCTGAAAGAAAATAGCGGATCCTACCTAGAATGAATGACAAGTCCCCTCGAATGAACTGTAACATCGCAATTCCAGGCCTTTTTGGATGACGCTGATTTGGGGCCTAAGTCTGGGATTAGGCTGGGTTCTTGGACTAAAACAAGCTTGGTCACCAGGGTGGATAACCAGTGTTGAGAAACAGACTGGGGAAATGTTATCTCTGTCAGTTATGCTGCAACTTTCAGTGGCACCTGATAGCATTGACCACGGCATCCTTCTCAGTCGTTTAGCCAGTAGGGCACTGAATTAGGCCGACTCCAATCTTACCTGGCTGGGAACTCCCAGAAGCTATGCAACAACTGAGGTTCCTCCAGGCTCGATGATATTCCTGATGATGTTTGACTCTGAAACCACTTGGACAGGCTATCCGGAGCCCGGGGATGGGCATTACCATTTGAGGACACCCAGGCTTACCCGTCTTTGCCATCTGATGCCAAAGAGGTTGCTGAGGTACTGAACTACCTGCCTGGATGCCAGTTACTAAGCAGAAGCACAAGATATTGTTGGCCAGTAGCGGGAAAGATTTGAGTAGCGGCCTGCTCTCCATGGGATGGCTTTTCCTATGAAGAACCAGGCTCACAGCTGGGGCACAGGGGTGCTTTAAGACACCCCCGGAGGGTGGGGTGGCTGCTCTGTCCAGGAGGGCTTTTGCCCAGCTTTGATCAGTATGCCCGTTCACCATGACCAC